TTCCTGTGCAAAGAAAACCTCGATGGAAGGTGAAATCTTCTCTGTTGTGCTGGAGATCCTGCTGTGATTTCCACCAGTTTTAGCCCTTCCCAAAGAGCAGAGTGAGGCAGTTTCCCTTCTTGTTTTAGTCCCAATTTTTGATCTGGGTGTTCCCTGCTCCTGGAAACCCCATTCCCAATTTAATCATTCCCTGTGCAAAGAAAATCTTGGTGGGAGGTGAAATTCTCTCTCTCATGCTGCAGATCCTGCTGTGATTTCCAGCAGTTTTAGCCCTTCCCAAAGGGGCAGAGTAATGCATGGAGCAGCCAATTTCCCTTCTTGTTTTACTCCCAAGTTTTGATCTGGGTATTCCGTGCTCCTGGAAACCCCATTCCCAATTTAATAATTCCTGTGCAAAGAAAACCTCGATGGAAGGTGAAATCTTCTCTGTTGTGCTGGAGATCCTGCTGTGATTTCCACCAGTTTTAGCCCTTCCCAAAGGGCAGAGTAAGGCAGTTTCCCTTCTTGTTTTAGTCCCAAATCTTGAGCTGGGTGTTCCCTGCTCCTGGAAACCCCATCCCCAATTTAATCATTCCCTGTGCAAAGAAAATCTTGGTGGAAGCTGAAATCCTCTGTCTCATGCTGGAGATCCTGCTGTGATTTCCACCAGTTTTAGCCCTTCCCAAAGGGCAGAATGAGGCACAGAGCAGCCAATTTCCCTTCTTGTTTTACTCCCAAGTTTTGATCTGGGTATTCCCTGCTCCTGGAAACCCCATCCCCAATTTTCATCAAAACCTTGGTGGAAGCTGAAATCCTCTCTCTCATGCTGGAGATCCTGCTGTGATTTCCACCAGTTTTAGCCTTCCCAAAGAGCAGAGTAAGGCAGTTTCCCTTCTTGTTTTACTCCCAAGTTTTGATCTGGGTATTCCCTGCTCCTGGAAACCCCATTCCCAATTTAATCATTCCCTGTGCAGAGAAAATCTTGGTGGGAGGTGAAATCCTCTCTCTCATGCTGCAGATCCTGTTGTGATTTCCACCAGTTTTAGCCCTTCCCAAAGGGCAGAATGAGGCACGGAGCAGCCAATTTCCCTTTTTGTTTCACTCCCAAATCTGAGTCGTGCCGAGCCCCTGCCGTGTGCCTCTCTGCTCCTGCAGTGAATCCTCACAGCAATGATTCATCCCAGA